ACATGAGATGCCGGCATCATTGACGGCACCTTTACCCACTATGCCACAGTACCAGCTCCAGAAGCTAAGTTTTAATTTTTGAGCATCTCTTAAGAATCCTCTATTATATTTTATTTGAACTTGGTAAATGATCCCTATACTTTATAGGAAAAAATTAAAGGTAATAAACTCAAGATTCCAAAGGTTCAAAAGGGATACACAACGAAAATTCTCCCTCCTACCACAGAGGCATCCAATGGTATGTTGAGTATCCTTAAAAAAATTTTAATATCCATAGAAAGACCTATGCATATATTCTTATTTACCCACTTTTTTCACATCAGTGGTGGAATACCATCACTCAGTCCACACATTTCCATTTTCATTTAACAGCACGTCTTGGATATCGTCCTACATTGGCACACAAAGGTCTTCACTCTCTGTTAAGGTTACATCACAATCTCTTGCAGAGTTGAAAGATAGTTAACCAATTTCCTACAGATGGATAGGTAGGCTTGTTCATTGTCATTTTCTTTATTTTTATTTTGCAATTACAAGTATTCTTATGGATAACCTTGTAAAGAGTTTTCTTGGGGCTGGCATTGAAACAGGGGGGTTTAGCTGGCATTGAAACAGGGCAGCCCACAGTGCCAGCATCCCATGTGATTGCTGGTTCACGTTCTGGCTACTCTACTTCCCATCCAACACCCTGCTAATGGCCTGGGAAAGCAGCAGAAGATGGCCCAAGTGCTTGGGCCCCTGCACCCACATGGTATACAAGGAAAAAGCTCCTGGCTCCTGACTTCAGATCAGCTCAGCTCTGGCCATTGTGGCCACTGGGGAGTGAAACAGCAGATGGAAGACCTTTCTCTGTCTCCCCTCTCTGTCTATAACTCTGCCTCTAAAATAAATAAATTTAAAAAAAAAAAAAAAAAGCATTTTCATGAGGGCTGGTGCTACGGTATAGCAAGTTAAGCCTCAGCCCGCAGTGCCAGCATCCCATGTGGGCACCAGTTCATGTCCCAGCTGCTCCACTTCTGATCCAGCTCTCTGCTGATGCACCTGGGAAAGCAGTGGAGGATGGGCCAAGTACTTGGGCCTCTGCACCCACATGGGAGACCCAGAAGCAGCTCCTGGCTCCTGGGTTCAGTCTGGCCCAGCCCTAGTCGTTGCAGCCTTTTGGGGAGTGAACCAGAGGATGGAAGACCTCCGTCTCTCTGTCTCTACCTCTCTTTGTACCTCTGCCTTTCAAATAAATAAAATAATTTTTTAAAAAAAAATCATGTTAGCTGTTAAGATAAAGGAGGTCACAGTATAACATCTTAAAAGTCTTGGTCTAGGGGTCATACTAGAAATGTAAATAATTAGCATACAATTTATTTACTAAAGTACATAATTGGAATCTCAAAGTCTTTTTTTATACAAATGCTGCTTCATATTACCTACAGAAACTAGTTTCTTATTTTAAGTGTATACACATATACAAATATAGATGTGGGTTTGAAGTATATTCAGTACCAAAAAATACAGTTGCTGTTTTATTTCTGTAATAATAGCTAAGATTCGCTTTGGCATTACTGCCTGCCAGAGGCCGTACACCTCATGTGTATGCCAGCTCACCTAACAGTCACAGTGGCTCTAAGCGGTGGGTGGTATTATCTTATCTTTACATCACAATGAAGGAACCGAGACTCAGAAAGGCAAAGAAATGTGCCCCAGGTCACCAGAAGTTGTCAACGCTGCGACTCAACCTCTGATCTGTCTGACTGGAAAGTCTGTGAGTAGATCAAATTTATTATCCCAGGAAAATAATGGGCAGGGGCGTCCCAGGAGCATCTGAGTAGGCACTGGGACATCTGACCTTGGGTGGCTTAGGGAGGAAAGGCAATGCTACAACTAAACACCAGCAGAAGCGCAAGGCTGATCCGACCTAACTGCATGAACCTAAATACACAGCACTTTATACACCATCCACGTCCAGCACTGTTCAAATCTTGGAAGTTTTCAACTCCAAAGTCCTGACTATAGAAAGCACGCCCAGAGAAATCAGCTCCCAGATAAACACAGAAAATAATAATGTCATTTTAAGCCATTTCAGATACACACGACTCCTACCTGATTTCATTTCCAAGAGAGTGTTGTTGTCGATTTCATGGTTTGCTCTTCCCGGCTGGGGCACTCGCAGTGGAATGATCTGAGGGACACACACTGAACCAGCCGTCATCTCCTCTCCTTGCATGGAAAACATTAGGGAAAAAAAGACATCCCAACGTGCACTTAGGCCCAAATATAGACGCTGAAGAGCAACATAAATGCAGCAAAAGTGGTAAAATCTAAAGCGAACACCGCTAATATGCAACTGCAAATATTATTCAATTTTCAACTGAAGTAATCATGATATGTGAACTAAGTTTGTGCTGTTGAAGTCCTTTGTGAAATTTTAACTGTCTACATCAGGGGTGGAGAATGTCATTTGTTCTGGCCCTGTCAAGGTAACCACAGGCAGGACTCAAATTCAATAAACTTATAGCAGGCTAATTTTTAAGTTGATAATTTTGTATGGCCCACAAATGATGGATAAAAAAAAAAAAAAGATTCCCCCACCCCTGCAAACTAGTTCTGAGAAAGGAACAAGAATGGATAAAATGGGGGATAAAAGAGTCATTTTAAATGGGCAGATTAAATAAATAAGGCAGGGGCTGGTCCTGTGGCACAGTGGGTTGAGCTGCCACCTGCGACACCCGCATTCCATATCAGAATGCCAGTTGGAGTCCTGGCTGCTCTACTTCAGAGCCAACTCCCTGTTAACACTCCTGGGAAAACAGTGGAAGATGGCCCAAAGTGCCTGAGCTCCTGCCACCCGTGTAGGAAACACACATGGAGCTCCAGGTGCCTGGCTTCGGTCTGCCACAGCCGGAACCATTGTGGTCATTTGGAGGATGAATCAGCAGATGGATCTCTTTCTTTCTGTGTCTTTCCCGCCACCCCTCTCTCTGTCACTGTGCCTTTCAAATAAATAAAATAACCCTTTAAAAAATTAGGCAGAGCAAAGACCATCGCTAACATTCTGACCTCAGTTCCTTCTGGATCAATACCGTTCCCTGCCTTTGCTAACTGTGCCACCTCGGCCTGGGAAAAATTCATTACACACGCAGAACAAAAATAACTCTGTATGTAGCATGAAATGTTAATTTACAACCAACTCCTCTGGGAAAGCTCCAGGTCCTTGGCCCTACAAATGTCACCAGAAATTATTTCTAAAAGCTGTAAAGATATTTTAGGACAGCAGGATATTACTTCTCAGCAGAAAGGAAGCTGGTACAGATACAAAAAGTACCCAGCAGGGGCCTGTGATGTGGTACAGCGGGTTAAAGCCCTGGCCTGCAGTGCCGGCATCCCATTAAGGAGCCAGTTCAAGTCCTGGCTGCTCCACTTCCGATCTACTGGGAAAACAGTGGAAGATGGCCCAAATCCTTGGGCCCCTGCACCCACGTGGGAGACCTGGAAGAAGCTCCTGGCTCCTGGCTTTGGATTGGCTCAGCTCCGGCCATTGCAGTCGTTTGGGAAGTGAACCAGCTGATGGAAGACTCCTCTGTCTCTGGTTCTACCTCTCTCTGTAACTCTGTCTTTCAAATAAAATAAATCTTTAAAAAAAAATTTTAAAAGAAGTACCCAAGAAACATGTTTCCCAATCAATTTACTGTACTTATAAATAACTGAATACCAGCATGAAATCCTTATTGGTCTTTTTTTTTTTTTTTTTGCTGGAGGGGGTGGGGGCTCAATTTTTTAATGTATGCGCTTGAAGGGAAAAAATTCCTCATTGTAACAGCAACCATTTGCATCTCTGTACTGCCTTTCCCAATTTCACTGATAATGGACACATAGGCTTTATTCCACTATAATCTAGATATCCATCCAATTCTTAGAGTCTACTTCTTGCACCTTCACTTTATTATTTACAATTGCTCTTGTGCTTTTTATTTAAAAAATCAATTTGCAGTTAGGCTATTTCCAGCATCTCTTGGGTTTTAGTTGCTGCAGTTCTACTAATGCTGTTCTTTTTGGCCTGAGTGTTGCCAGAGGCTGTAATTCCTCCAAGTGGAAGAACTAAACCTAACATCTTCTTGTTCGACAGTTCCAGACTGACAGCCAAGAATATAAACCACAGCATAGCAGTCGCCCCTGGAAACCGGCGGGTGGACTCGGGGGGTGGGGGGACCTGCCCGTACTCACGTGTCCATTCAAGAGGAGGAGGCAGTTAAAATAAATTTTTTTAAATAGTTGAAAATAAAAATATTTAGGGAGGGAGTCGCACGTTGCAACCAGTAGCTGCCGTTGGGAGTCTGGGGAGGCCAATGGGGCCCTCGCCAAGAGGATCCGGAATCAGGCGGATCGGCTGGGTCCTAGCGGAGGGGTTGGTCACCAGCATCCCGCAGTGCCCACCCGACCGCTCCCTGCATCTGCCCCGGCCCCTTGCCGACCAGATCCGGAACGCGTCTGCTCCTAGCCCTCGCCCACCAAGGACAGCTCGGCTGGAATGAGGATGCCCTCTTCCTTCTGCAGCCAACAAGACCGAGGTCAGAACTTCCAGAGCACCTCCGCCGCCCACAGCAGGGTCGCGCGGGTCGCTCACCGCCACTCGCCTCCTTCGCTCGGGCCCAGGTTACCACCGACGCTTCGAGCCGCGCCCCGCCCTCTGGGAACTAGGCAGATGATTGGCGGAAACGCGGCTCCCTAGCAACCAGCCCCGCCCATGCCGCTGGCGTGGAGACCCACGCGCGCCTGGAGCGCCTTTCCCACGGCTTTGTCGGCGGCGTCCAAGAATATGCCTGCTCGGAGGTTGCAAAATATTGAAAAGGTGACTTCCCAGCGTAGAATGAAGGAACCAGGCTCTTTCTTCCCACAAGGGGAGGGACATCCTGGACAGCGAATATAAGGAACTGTAGAGAGTCGGTCCGAGTGCTGGAACAGGCGCGGCTTGGCCGCCCCAAGCCGACGGGCCAGGAAGGACCGGCCGCGACACGAGGAAGAAGGCCCCCTAGCCCGGCCCTGCGTTGTCTGCCGCCGGCTCCAGGGTTCCCCCGTTGGGTCTCTAGCGGCTCGGTGCACCTCTCCCCAGACGGAACGCGAACTGCGCCCTCATGGCTGAAGTGAAGGTGAAGGTGCAGCCGCCTGACGCGGATCCTGTCGAAATAGAAAACAGGTAAGCCGGGAACTGGGTTCCCGGCGCAGGACGCCTTGTAGGCAGCCAGCTATTTGGGCAGCTGGACCCCTTCTCTAGGCTCCCTGGACCCCGGCCAGAGCAGGTTGGGTGAGCATGCGGGAAAGTGATGGTGGGTTCTGGACCCTCTCTCTCCAATCCGCTTTTTCCCTACGAGAAAAGTTCAAAACGGGGTTGACAGCTTGCAACTTGGAGTTAACTTTGGTCTGGGAAGTTATGAGTGTGTGTTCTGATCCAGGATCGCTCCTATTCCTGGGGACTCCTGAGACTGGACGTTTGCACTGAGTTGGGGTGCAGTTTGTGATTATAAATCCAGATTACGCCACACAGCTTCGTGTGAAATGTTAAAAAATATTTATTTGAAAGAGTTACATAGAGAGAGGGAAAGACAGAGAACTCTTCCATCTGCTAGTTCGCGCCCCAGATGGCCGCAATGGCCATGGCCGGGGCCAGGCCAGGACCTTCATCCAGGTCTCCCTTCTGGGTGGCAGGGGCCCAAGCACTTGAGCCATCCTCCATGCGTTTCCCAGGCCATTAGCAGGGGGCAGGATGGGAAATGGAGCAGCCGGACATGAACCAGTGCCCATATGTACGTCACCCACAAAGCCGGCCCCCAGTGTAAAGTATTGAACTTAAGGTTTTAGGGCGCCTAAAGCCTCTTCCAATTTTGATTATTTTGCCAGTGCTCTGTTATTTCTGTTTTATCACATGATTTTAAGAAGACCCTGACTTTCTCAAACTGCACAGGTAACGCATTTATTGATCCTAAGACAGGATTTGGACTTCTGTTGTTTGATAGGGATAATTCTAAAAACAGGCCTGGGGCCTGAGTTGTGGCACAGCAGGCAGAGTCACCCCCTGCAGCGCCGGCATCCCAAATGGGTTCTGGTTTGAGTCCCAGCTGCTCTACTTCTGATCCAGCTCCGTGCTAATGCGCCAGGGAAACGCAGTGGAAGATGGCCCAAGCGCTTGGGCCCCTGCTACCCTGAAGAAGTTCCTGGCTCCTGGCTCCTGGCTTCAGCCTGACCCATTGCTGGCTGGTGCAGTAAGAGGAGTGAACCAGCAGATAGAAGCTCAATCTCTCTCTCTCTCTCTACTCCGCATTTCAAGTTTAAAAAAAAAAAAAATTGGGCTTCCTATTAGCAATATTTGATTTGCCTTCTAACAGAGCTGTAGCTTAACTTTGTTTACTTATTTCATCTGAGAAAATTGATGTCTTAGCTAGAATATTTTTTCTGTGTTTTTATTAAACTTTTGCTCTAATTAAAAGTTCATATTAGCCGGCACTGCGGCTCACTAGGCTAATCCTCTGCCTTGAGGCACCGGCACACCGGGTTCTACCGGGATTCTGTCCCGGTTGCCTCTCTTCCAGGCCAGCTCTCTGCTGTGGCCAGGGAGTGCAGTGGAGGATGGCCCAAGTACTTGGCCCAAGTGCTGCACCCTATGGGAGACCAGGAGAAGCACCTGGCTCCTGCCATCGGATCAGCGCGGTGCACCGGCCATTGGAGGGTGAACCAACGGCAAAGGAAGACCTTTCTCTCTGTCTCTCTCACTGTCCACTCTGCCTGTCAAAAAAAAAAAAAAAAAAAAAAAAAAGTTCATATTGGTGAGGGATACTTCCCTTAAAATAACAATAATTTTAAAATCATGTGAATACATATATATAGATAGTGTCTTCCTCAATTTTTGTCATGCTTTGGTTCAAAACTAAATAGAAGCCTGGATTATCTGCCAAATGTGGGGGAGGAGGGACACAAACTGCTTTGCTCGTATTCCCCACAAACCCCACCCCCACCACTGCCTTTTGGAAGGTAAATGAGAATGGAATCGTTCTCCCTTTGTTTCTAGGATTATAGAATTATGCCAGCAGTTCCCTCATGGCATCACAGACCAGGTGATTCAGAATGAAATGCCTCACATAGAAGCGCAGCAGCGGGCTGTGGCCATCAACAGACTCCTGTCCATGGTAAGGGGAATCCAGCTAGTTCCTGTGATTCCTTATTTCTAGGTTTATTGCCCCTTGTCCGAAATACCTGGGACCAGGGAAGTTTCAGATCTTGGAGTTTTGGGGATTTTAGAATATTTCCATAGACTTTACTGATTGAGCATACCTAATCTGCAAATCCAAAATGCTCCAATATCTGGAACTTGTGAGCATCCTGTGGACACTCAGAAAGTTTCAGGATTTGCAGCATTTCGGATTTTGAACCAGGGATACTCAACCAGTGTGGCAGTGGTCAGTGCTGCCCAGTGTGTAGTTGTGGTGGTTACCCTTATGTATCAGCCTGACTAGGAGATGAGGTTCACAGGTACCTGGCCAGCCATTGTTTCTGAAGATGTCTGGAAAGATATTCTGGAAAAGGTTAGCATTTACATTGGTGAGCTGAGTGAAGCAGATGGCCCTACCCAGCGTGGTGGGCGTCATCCCATCCGTCGACCGCCTGAATAGATCACGAAGGTGGAGGTTACCGTCCGCCGGTTTGGTCTGGATGCCCGTCCCCCCTACCTTTGATCTATGCCTTCAGCTTTCCCAGCCTGGTATTGCAGAGGGCACATCATGGCACTTCTCAGCCTTCGTACTCTATATATAGAGATTCAAAGACACTTAAACCTTTCCTTAAACCATTCCCTTCAACCTTGAAGCCCAGGGGTTGGCAATTTTTTTTTTAATAAAATGCTAGATAGTATATTTTGGGCTTTGTGGGCCTTATGGTTTTTGCCACAATTACTCAACTCTGTCATTTTAGGAAGAAGCAGCCATGAGTGATGACATATAAATGGATGTGGCTGTGTTCCAATAAAAATGTCATTAATAAAAGCAAATGGTGGGCCAGATTGCCAGTCCAAGGGAACACAAGGGTTGAGGTTTTCTAGTCATTTCGCTGTGATACGGAAGGAGAGAGGAAGGGATTCTGGGAGGTTGTAGCAGTGGCAAATACTCCTTTTCGTCCTCTGGTTTCCCTCCCAGGCTTTTCCTTTCCGACTGAAGATTGTCCTCAGTGCCTCCCTCTCTCACCAACACTGCAGCCATCTACCCACTGCCGTAGGCTTCAGGTGTGGGAGAGCTATCAGACGATCACAAGCAAGGGAGTGGCTGTTAATAAGTGACAAAACAGTGCTGCTTTGGGCTCTGCCGCCGTGCTCAGATTTGATCCCCCATTTGCATTCCCACTGCGCCCTCTGTACTCAGGCTCTTGGCATTTGCCTGAACAGTTGCACTGGCATCCTCCCTGGCAGCCCCAACCGTGTCTGCCCCAGAGCAGCCAGCCTGATCTACCATAACTGCAGCTCTGACCAACTCACTCTCCCACCTAAAATCCACGTGCACTAGAGAATGAAGTCCGGGCTGCTGGGTTTCCACACTGAGCCCCTGCTTATCTCCTGCACCACTCTGCCTCACAGCTCCGACTTCAGAAGGGACAGGTTGTTTCTCATTTCCTGCCACATCATGTTGTTGGAAGCCTCAGGACCTTGGCTCCTGCTGTCCTCCATGCTTGGAATGCCCTTCCTTCTCCTCTTCACAGACTGCCTAGCTCCCTGCTGTCCTATAGGACCAAGCTCTCCCACTGTCTCCAGGAAGCCATTGGTGAACCCCCATATTGTGCCACAGACTCTTCCCTGAGTGCCTAACCACCCTTAATTTACCTTTGTCTTGATGCGAATCAGATGCTATTGAAGTTAGTTGTATATTTCTCTTTTAAAATTCGTGTTTCTCCCTGCAGACAAGCTATCCTAACACGGGGCACGGTACAGGTGTTCAGCAAATGTTTATAGGCTGAGTAAATGACTGGAAGGAGCCTCTGAATTGAGCTGTGTGGTCCTGCTTTGCCACTTGGTGGGAATAGGGGAGGGAGAGGGCCGTCGTTCCTCATCCATTTCTAGGTCACACGTCTGCCCAGTTTTAACACATGGAAACGGGTTCCCTCTCAGCCAAGGTTTCCCAACTGCAAGAAACCCAATGGGACCACCTTCGAGGTTCTCCCAAGTTCACATTCAAGGGATTTCAGAAGCATGGTAGAAAACACTGTATTTGACTTTTGATGTATTATATAAAAACAAGACTACTATAGGCCTTATTCATTGGTTGACCTTTCTACCTCATTTTCAGGTAACTCTGTAAGTTACACATATCAATAAGTATCACCACTAACTATATGAGTTTTATTTACTTGGACCATGGGATATTTATTCATATTTAGCCTTTTTTATTTCTATTATATATATAATAGTTGGATAGTTGAATTTGACTGTGGGTATTTACAATTCTAAAACTGCTTTTTAAGAATTCTGTATATATTGGTCATATAACCAAGCTGGGATGTAGCATATAGGAAGCTTTTATATTGGATATTTTAATTTGAAATGAAAAGGCTATTTTGAAAAATACGTTGTATGTGATATGTTGGTAAAAACTTGTCCCATGTGAGAACTGACCAGTAACCGTGCGAGGAAGGATATTTTAGTCTGTATAATACAAGATGTTAAAAGTCACTGGATTTGATTATCTCTAATATAATTAACTCCTATTTTCTATTAAAAAAACACTTTAGGGTCAATTGGATCTCTTAAGGAGTAATACAGGCCTTTTATATAGAATAAAGGACTCTCAGAATGCTGGGTAAGCACCTACTTTTAATTCTTAGAAAGTGTTAATTATTACAAAAGTAGTAAATGTGTTGGGAAAAAGCTGATGCAGAATTGCGTAGTGCAGACCTGTCCTGTACATCATCCCCACTCCTGTCATGAACTCCACTTCCCAGATTAACTGCTCCTAGTAGTTGGTGAATACGCTTTCTTCTAGTTATATATAAATACACATAAATGGTTATATATTTATATACTATGTATTTATATATAATCTTTTTTTTTTTTTTTAACAAAAATGGGACCATGCTATCCATGCTGTTTTATAACTTGTTTTTTTCACTTACTATATCTTGGACATCTTTTCATGTTGGTACATACAGCTCTGTCTCATTCTTTTTAAGGTAAGCCTTTCTTTTGGTGAATAAGTCAGTGTGATGACTGTGTCTGCTCATTCATTTACGTAGTGATGTAGATTGTTAGATTATCCTGTACCCCCTTGCCTTCCTCATTCTGTTTTATTTCCCTACAGTAAGATGAAGGGATCAGACAACCAAGAAAAACTAGTATATCAAATCATAGAGGATGCAGGAAATAAAGGTAAGCATGTGAGGACGAAGCAGCAAAAAACATTGTCTTGGAGGTTAGATACAAGGACTGAGATCCTGACTTTTCAGGGATTGGACTAGGGAGCAGATTAGTATGCTGCCCTTGGTTTTAAGAGGGAGAATAGGAAAATGACACACACATATAGCATACATGTCATACTCTGGAGGACACCCAAGACTGATGCTGTTGTTGCCTCCAGGGAGGCAGGAACTGGATAGCAATGGCCAGGGATGGAAAGACTTCTGAATTTTGAGCCACATAAATGAATTATCTGTTTAAAATAAATAAGTTAAAACTTAAGTGTTTTTAAAATCTTTGCTTTGTAATACATCCCCTTGAACAAGTTACTTAAACTCTGTGAGTCTTAGCTTCTTCATCAGTTCTGTAAATCGTGGATAGTAACACCTCTGGTTTTTGCAAGGACAAGATGGATGATTGGTATGGCACCCCCTGCTGTTGCGGTGTGTACTTCAGCAGCTCTCCTTCCCTCTCTCATAGAAGAACTGTATCAAGATTATAGTTACTGTCATTTTTTTAAGGGAAAAGGTTTATTGACGGGTGGGGGAAACCCGACAGGCTGCCTCCCTGTGTACAGAGAGAACAACCTATACTTATTATTATTTAGAGTATGTTGAGTATTGATGTTAGCTTGCAAATTTGGTGTGATCTAAAACGTATTAATTTGTGTATGTATTAGATTAACATTTTTAAAGTAATCTTAGGAGAAAGCATTCTCTATTAAAAAAAACCATCCTATCTCATTATGCATCTACATTAGAAAGAAAATAAAGCAAAGTATATTTGTATACATTCCCTTTCCACATGTAACTTCTCACACAGGGCTTTAGCAACTGTAAGAACCACAGACTTCCATTTTCCATTGCACAGCTGCAGTGTTGTATAAAGAATGGACGTATGCGCACACGAGTATGGAACACAAGGGTGGTGTTGTTCCCAGCCGAGCATAGTGTTGACCCTGACCCAGATTTTACATTGCTTTTCACGTTTACTATCTAAAGAGAAAATATACAAAAATGAGGGAATGGAGAAGACCATTATAAATTAATTCAAAAGCATTCATGATTTTTTTCATTGCAGTTATTTCCTTTCTATACAGCTTTTAAAGGGTGCCACACGGAGATTCCAAGAAATTTTCAGTTAAAATGTAAAGCATATGACTTACTGTTTTGCCTACTTCCTTTACTTTATGCACAGGTCTTAACTCTATTTCAATTGGCCTTTTTTTTTTTTTTTTGTAACATATTTACCTAAAGCTTCTTGTTCAAAGATTTACTATCAGCTTTACGTTGCTAGTTTGGGGATGAGATAGAATCCATAGGAATAGAAACAAAAATCCATGAACTCCATAATTCAACTTATTTTACTTTATTTTCTTATAGGAATATGGAGCAGAGATATCCGATATAAAAGTAACCTGCCATTAACAGAAATCAATAAAATACTTAAAAATTTGGAAAGTAAAAAGCTAATCAAAGCTGTTAAATCTGTAGCAGTGAGTAATTTTCTCTTTTTTCCCCACAAATGTTTATTTCATATGTTGTTCCCTATCTAGTTTTGATTCTTTAAGCCATGTCATGATTTAAGACAACTGGTGAAAAAAGACTTTTTAAACCTTTAGCTCACATTGGATTGGTTTGAAGATGTTGCTTAGATTTGTGCCAATATAGTTAACTTCTGTTGTCTTATGCATTCAAAAATCTAAAGCTACTTCATTTTCTTTGGTGAACAATTTTTGGAGTCAAACAATTCTCCAGATACAGTGGTGTGTAAGAAAATTCACTTGATCCTAGCATGTTAGCTTTCTCACTGAACACTTACCTACTGAGTGTTTGCTAAGTGCCAGGCCCTGTTGTGGGTGCTTGGTTACGAATTAACAGACCACAGAATGACCTGTGCCCTGGCACAGCATCCTGTCCAGTGCTAACCAGTGTTCCTGCCCACCCTTCAGATTGGAATATTGCTCAGTAATCAAGAGAAATGAGCTCTCATGGAAAGACATGAATAAATCTTATACATATTGCTAAGTGAAAGAAGGCAATCTGAACAGACTGCACACTGTATTCCAACTGTATTATGCTCTAAAGAAGGCAAGACTGTGAACACAGTGGAAAAAGAAAATCAGGCGTTGGGGACGGACTGGTGAGGAAAGTTGAAGAGGTAGAGCACAGGAGAGCTTTGTCAATCCAAAGCCAGGAGCCAGGAGCTTCTTCTGGGTCTCCCATGTGGGTGCAGGGGCCCAAGCACGTGGGCCATCTTCCACTGCTTTCCCAGGCTATAGGCAGAGAGCTGGATCAGAAGAGAAGCAGCTGGGACACCTAACAGTGCCCATATGGGATGCAGGTGCCGCAGGTGTAGCAAAGAAATTAAATTTTACAAATGTGGGAAAAACCCACATACTGAAGAGAGTAGAGGAGTGAGGTGCTGACATAAGTGACTTGGGAGTGAGTAGTGTCCATAAGACTAAAGGTGAAAGGAAATGTACATGGGCACAGCACTTGGGGTCATCACGTCGTTTTCCTTGAGGTTCCTACTTAGAAATTCTGATGCCACTCTACACAGTAGACTAGGAGGGAACATTTATATAAATGGATGAGGGTTGCTGGTTGCAATGCAATTCTGACATGAAGTACTGAACTCAAATTTCACAGATCAAAGGTACAATCCTGTGCTCACTTTAGACACCAGTTACAACTTCAAGAGTCTCCAGAACACCCAGGCTTTGACCAACTAGTGACAAATTTAGGGGATCCTACATCTCCTTCAGGTTCAGTCATTTGCCAGAAGGACTCAGAAAATCCAGGAAAGCACTAAAGTTAGCATTACAGTTTTGTTTAGATGATACAAAGAACCTGCCAGTTGAAGCACAAGAGCTGAAAGGGTTTCAGACATGAAGATTTCATAGCCTCGAGAAGCAGCACTTTCCTGGCACACGGCTGCATGATTACCAACCGTGGAAGTACACCCACGCTTTAGTGTCCAAAGTTTTTATTGGCAAGCATTACATAGGCTTGATTGATTGAATCCTTGGCCATGTGACTGAGGTCAATCGCTAGTCCCCTCTCCATCTCAAGAAGTTAGGCTGATGTCATGTGGCCCAAAGCCCAAATGGTTGTTCCAGAATGGAGAGCTTCTGTCCTGACACATGAGTCACTTTGTGAGTATCTACCCAGGGGTGGTCTGTGGACCCAGGAACCAGGGACAAAGGCTGTCAGGTTCTTTATTAAACAGTGGTGGGATTCGGGTTTCTGGGAAACCGATAAACAGATAAACAAGCGGAGGAGGCTGCAGTGATCCAAGTGGAAATAGATGAGAGTTGGAGACATCAGTATGAACTCATGTTCAGTCTAATATAAGTGTAGGTGTTACACAGATACTCATCCTAATTATTACTTTTATGAATTATGGTTAGTGTTCACACATACATCTCATCTGTCACCTGAGAAGGCCTAAAAGCAACAGTACCTGGAGCAATTAACATACCTGGCACCTGTACATTGGTTGTTAATACCGTTCTCCACTAAAAGAAATGGACAATAGTTTCCTCAAAGCATACATTTTCTTCAGTCTTTGTGAAAATCCATATGTAGGGATTTCAGAAAAAAAAATTGTACAAAAATCAACTTCCAATGTCATTTTCCGTTTTCATTTTTCAAGTTCCTTCGTACATAAGATGATGCTGACATCTAAAGACAGCAGGAAATAAGAAAGTGCCAGAACACACACACAACAACAAGAGTGTCATACAATGGAAGAGCTCCAATGCTCTAAGCTGGTACAATTGAGATTATAAAATAGTACTGGATTATAACTAAACATATAAAATAAATATTCATGTGTCCATACTCATATAGATGAGAAATTGTCACAACCAGAAGGAGACCAAGGAAAACTGATGACTAAATGTAATACAGTGTCCTGGATGGGATCATGGAGAGAAAAGGACATTAGGGGAAACTAGTAAAATCTGAATAAAATGTGGCCTCTAGCTGATAATGATATGTCAGTATTGACTCAGTGTGGACGGTATTCCATACTAATATGAGACATTAATAATATGGGTGTGGGAGCATACAGAGACTACTGTCTGTGTGACGATTCTGTACGTAAAAAGCTGTTCTAAAACAGTTTATTATTTTTTCAGTTTGTTTTTTGGATGCTGTTATCTTATTAACAGTTGAATGTTTTTCTTTTCCTAGGCTTCAAAAAAGAAGGTGTACATGCTCTATAACCTGCAACCAGACCGGTCCGTGACTGGGGGAGCCTGGTACAGTGACCAGGATTTTGAATCTGAATTTGTAGAGGTGCTTAACCAACAGTGTTTTAAGTTTCTACAAAGCAAGGTGAGGCATAATTGAGGAAATATCACAGATTTTTTTTAAAGATTTTTCAAAAAGAATGATCTTTCATATCATATTTTTAGAAGATTGAAAATACTGAAATTGGTAGTTTTAACAATTTGTTCTGCTCTTGTATAAATTGTATTCAGGAAACATTCACCCTTATTCTTGCTTGGATCTCTTATGTTTCAACCCTGACAGGCAGAAACTGCACGAGAAAGCAAACAGAATCCGATGATACAAAGGAATAGTTCATTTGCTTCTTCGCATGAAGTGTGGAAATACATCTGCGAACTGGGAATCAGTAAGGTCAGAACTCAATTTCTCAACGTTTCATGTAATTTTCATCTTATTTTTAAAAATGTATTCATCACCATAAGGATGCACTTTACAGTGTATTCCAAACATGGTGGGCCCAGGCCCCCTTTTCAGTGACGGCTATGACCCTTCTGCAGAGCCCACGTTGGGGAAGCATTGTCTTGTGCCTCAGGCACAGCTGGGCATTGCCTTCAGGCAGTCTCAGCTGTTCTGGAGCTTGGGGCCGAGAGCAGGCCTAATGGTACATTTCACCACTCAGATCCAAAGTCAAGTTCGTGATTTTCTCAGCGACATTTCAGTGCATTTGCAAAATATCAGACACGATCATTTATGGGTATTTTCATACTTAGGAGATGTTAGTGGTGTCACCCACATATTAAAGGATTATCCATAAGGACCCTGATGATTTCCACAGTCTGCAAATGAGTCAGAGTGGCATTTGGACAAACCATTATCATTTCCCAGGTCACAGATGAGGAACTCGGACTATCTGATATCTGAAGTGCTTTTTGCTCAAGCATTATGTAAACCTCTATCAAGTTTTTGCCCAAGGAATGTTACTTTTTGAACTTCTAGATTTTAGTTAGGGTGAAGACATCACAAAGTGTCAGACCCTGCAACAGGTTAGACTTCTGTCTGGCATTTTAGAGGTTTGTGCCAACTTGAACCATCATTCACTCGCCCTGTTTGCTTTCAGTTCTTCTCCAGCATAGTGCTTCCCTGTGTCGCCAAGAAATCCTGGCCCTTTACAGTTTATAACACCCTCCAAAAGGATATCCCCTTGTCCTTTTTGTCTCCTTTCTAACATACCCCTTTTGTAGGTAGAATTGTCCATGGAGGACATTGAAACCATCTTGAATACCCTTATTTATGATGGGAAAGTGGAGATGACGATCATCGCGGCAAAAGAAGGCACAGTTGGCAGTGTGGACGGACACATGAAGCTGTACCGGGCAGTCAGTCCAATCATCCCACCCACAGGTTTGGTCCGGGCACCTTGTGGCCTCTGCCCGGTGAGTTCAAGTGGCTTCTCTTTACCTTGACTGCCACCAGGTACAAGTGACACCAAGGAAGAGAGCAGACCACCCAGTTTTCTCAGAGTCTTAGGGGTGAATAAGAGCTGCCAAACCTCCCTATAACTTTGATGAACAGACCTGTAATGAACAGAGTGCTATGCATTCTCTCTTGCAATAACCAGGTCAAAGATGTTCATGGTTGCTACCCTTGGCCTTGATTTTTTTTAATGAGGGCTAATCATTTAATGTAAGTAGAAAAGAAAATGAGATCTGAAAGCCTGCTGCAGGCCAGCCATGTTGTTAATGATTGTCACGTGTCTTATTTAACCCTCCTCCTGTCTGTAGCACTAGTGGTGGTCTGTCCCCTTAAGAGTGACAGAGTTTAGGCTTAGGAAACCTGAAGAGCATACAGCTTGGAAGTAACAAGCAGTTCAGCCTCAGAGATTCATTTCCAGGTCATGTAGGTGTGTCAGTTGCCTGCTGTACCAACCCAGGACACCACAGAGCAGGAATCCCTGGCCCACTCCTCACAGCACTTAGATTGTTGGGCTGCCAGTCATGTTTCGTTATACTGGCTCTTATCTGTATGCCCAAGCTCTCCATGCCCTAATTTCAAAATTCCTAGAAAAAGAAACAACGCATTGGGAAATCTGTTAAGCACCCTTCACAAACAGGAGGCAGGCTAGCGGGAAGCATCCAGTTAGTTGGAGTTAAGTTGTTCGTGTGCGTAACTCCCCGCCTTTTTGCCCTGTGCACAGGTAAGCACAGTCATCTCGGTGCTGCAGTGAAAGACCTCTCATTGGCCGACTTTGGGATCACAGAGCGTTCTTACACACAGTCCCAATCCCTTTCAGATTGTTTTCAACACTGCTTTAAATACATAGTTGGGTCATGAATATTTTAAAACTTCAGTGTGAATAAAAGCTGTTTTTTCTTTTTTAAAGGTTTTTGATGACTGCCATGAAGGTGGTGAGATTTCACCATCTAATTGTATTTACATGACAGAGTGGCTCGAATTTTAATGGAGAGCTATGAACTTGACTGACATTTTGCAAGTGAAGTTACTTTGGGAGCAGATCATTGAATTCATGAAGAAACATGAAATTTCCTTGAAAGCAAACTTCACAGTAACGGATACAGACCTGCTGCTATGGAAATATATTTTTTATTTATGAAGACTGAATTTATATTGGTAGAGTGGCCAACAGAATATGAAAGAGTTTGTAGTGAGATCCATTCTTCAGTAAATAAAATACTTTGAAGCTCTGGAGAAATATATCTTTTGAAGTTTTTAAGACTTTTTTGTGACAGTTCAAGGAAAGAAGTCAACAAATCCATACTGACCAAGCACTCTGGTAATACTAGAGCATACAGATGTTCATTTTGAAGTTATTTATTAAAGCCGTCTTTGGAAATTTTGTGATTTGGTTCACTACCAATGTTTCTGCTTTCTATTTCCTAGTGGTTTCATGTAAGTGGTGAAGGTAGGAATAGCGGGGATATATTCAACTGAGAGCACAGTACGGGAGTGAAGCATCCCTTTCTTCACACTATTGCCATTCTTTCCGAGGAGTATGACGTCATACTTACCCCAGTGGAGACTTGCCAGGGGTGTGTTTTCAGTGCATAAATGCTGATTACCATTACCAGCCTAAGGAGAATATTCTCATAGTCCCTTCTCTGTTAAAGCCTTCAGAGTTTCCGGGGCTGGTGCTGTGACACAGTGGGTTAAATCCCTGGCCTGTAGTGCCAGCATCCCATTTGGGTACCAGTTCAAGTCCTGGTTGCTCCACTTCTGATCCAGCTCCCTGCTAATGTGCCTGGGAAAGCAGCAAAGAATGGCCCATGTCTTTGGGCCCCTGCAACTATGTGGGAGACCCAGAAGAAGCTCGTGGCCCTGGCTTTGGATGGACTCAGCTCAGCTGTTGGGGCCATTTGGAGAATGTGAATCAGTGGGTGGAAGACCTGTCTCTGCTTCTACATCTTTGTAACTCTGCTGCCTTTCAAATAAATCTTTGTTTAAAAAAAAAAAAAGTCTTCAGAGTTTCATCCTATGGCTCCATTATTATTTGCTAAAATTTTCCCTAGATTCTTATTTAATGTCTGCAATAGACAAAATCAGATGTTGAAATCTAATCCCCAGTGTGATGGCACGTGGAGGTGGGGCTTTTGAGTACAGTGATAGACACTGAGGATGGAGTCTCTTGAATAGATTAATTTTATCCCGTAAGAGCCAGAGAGCCCCGTCATCCCTTCTGCCACATGAAGATACACTGAGAAGACCGCTGTCTGAACCAGATGCTGAATCTACAGTGCCTTGATCCTGGACCTCTAGCATCCAGAATTGAGAAACAAATATGTGTTGTTGAGAAACTGCCCAGTCTGTGATGCTCTGTTACAGCAGACAGAAGAGACAGCAATGTCTAATCATGTAGCTAAATTTAAAACTAGACCCTTCCTTCCATTCACATTTCAATTTGATGATGGGGGCAGGGTACAGTTTGTTTTCTCATCCTGTTTTAGTTTTTTGTTTCCTTATTCTGTTTGAAAAATCACCGTGTGATGTGTCTTTTTAAGATTTTTATTTATTTGAGAGACAGTTACAAAGAAAGGGAGAGACAGGTCCTCTATCTGCTGGTTCACTCCCCAAATGGCTACAACAGCTGGAGCTGGGTCAATCTGAAACCAGGAGCCAGGAGCTTCTTCCAGATCTCCCAGGCAGGTACAGGGGTCCAAGGACTTGGGCCATCTTCCACTGCTTTCCTGGGCCATAAGCAGAGAGCTGGAGCTGAAGAGGAACAGCTGGAACAGACTGGAGTCCATATGGGATACCAGCACCACAGGCAGAGGCTTAGCCGACGGCCACAGCGCTGGCGCCGGTGTGATGTGTCTGAGCAGAAAGTCATAGGGGCTGGCATGGTGGTGCAGCGAATTAAGCCCCAGCTTGCAACATCCCATATGAGCACCGGTTCAAGTGCCGATCTGCTTCTGCTTTCTGTTAATGTGCCTGGGAAAGCAGCAGGTGATAACTCAAATGCTTGGGACCCTGCCACCCATTTGGCCTGGCTCAGCCCTAGCTGTTGCAGCCATTTGGGGAGTAAACCAATAGATGAAAGATATGCCCCCACCCAATCACTCTGCCTTTCAAATAAATAAAATAAATCTTTAAAAAGCCATTATAATTGTACACAGTTCTAACCGTGAAAAACATGGAACCACCAAAAAAAATTCAAGCCCAGCTGCTACTGAGGACTGTGTTCCAAAACCAGTTGGAGACACTCTAAGTGGCCACATCAGAAGAATTACTGAGATAAATGGGATCAGTAAACTTCAGCTCAGTAACCAATGTCTATCAGATAAATCCTGTGGCCAGCTCTATAAAATCAGCATTTGGTGACACCAAGAGCATGTCAGGGACTGGATGAGTAAGCTATAGAAAAACAAGGGAGCCTGCAAATTGCAGGGGCTTTCTCTTCCACACTCAGCAAGAGCTGGACGTCAGAACCATGTATGTCCTCCCTGGGCCTGGCTGTCGTCCTCGTAACAAAACTAGACTTGGAAGAGAGTGAAAACATGTTTTAAATCAGACTTCACATTATGTCTTGATAGCCAGAAATTGATTCTTAAAGCTTAGAGACAGTGAAGACAAAAAAACTCCTTGCCTCATCAGAACAAAGAGTCCCTTTAATGTTTTCCAATAGCATATTTTTTATTCTGAATATTATCCAAAGGAGATAAGAGACAATAACCTAAAAATACAGCACTCTGATACATCATTACGTGGTTTATTTATCCTGCATGGATAAACACCAAAACACTGTGAAGCCCTCACGACAACACCAAAACATCAAATCGCAAGTGAAGAAGTCCTAATACTTAACAGTTGATCTCCAGTTAATATTAGGTATTTTCCTCAGCTGAGAACAGATGCTTTCCAGGTCTGTTGAGGCCTCTCAACATAGAAACGTGAGAAACAATGAGATTCCATTGTTCTGTGGTTTTCATTAGATGTTTATGTAGATTCTCACTTGAAACCCCTCTGATTTACTTTAACGATGAGTAAATTTTATAAGCTTATGATTTTAATGGTGATTAAGCAAACTAGAAGTAATTTAAAATTCAGTCACTTTTACTTAGAACTATTCATTGTACGGTGGCTAAGGAAAGAATCTAAAATATGTGCCCTAGACCAATGCTATCCAATAGTTTTCTATAATCATGGAAATATCCAAATCTCTCCAATAAAGTAACCAGCCCTGGTAGCTGCTGAACACTTGAAATACAGCTCACGTGACAGAGAAGGAAGTTTAAATTTTATAGCTACTGTATGGGGCTACACAGCTCTACAATCCTAAGTCTTTCTTAACTGTTTTTATAGGAATATTAGAAGTAATTCTCAATTCTATTTGTGGGTTTTTTCCCATTCTGAAGGAAGAGGACAACAAAGCATTATGAACTGTTATTTGTGTAAATCTGTAATTCTTTAAAGAACTTTAGGGAAAAAAAGGCAGAGAATAAGGAATACTATGACTAATTGGAAATTTCAATATAATGAAACTTAAGAGTACAGGTTTGGTCAGATCAATGTTAAACAGCCTCCAAAATTACTATTATTCAACTGACTAATTTGCTTTTTGTTAGTGTGTCAAGAAAGTTGTTTTGAATTTTAATAATTATTCATTAGTAAAATTATCAGTTCAATGTAAAAAATTCAAATTGTGTGTGACAGCATTTCTGTAGCATAACTCAGGTTCTGCAGTGTCATGCATGAATTCACTGGAAGTCATTTGAGGCAATACTTGGGATCATAATAGCCCCCTAAAAATGTTGGGAAATGAAAAAGGGGTTCCTTTGGAGGAGTATGATCAGAATAAACATGCTGGAATGATACCTAAAAGAGATTTTTAAGGAAGTTAAAAGTTGAACTCTACAAAGCAAAATTTGACATGTGGAAAGGTTGCTTAAGACTTTGTAAAAATCCAAATTGTTCCCATGGCTTTCACCCTTTGACACATGTTCACTTTGGTTATTTTACACTTTTCTCCGGCTTTACAGAGAATAGAGAAGAATCTAAACACACCTGGCTAAGTTAGTTCTTATGGCAAGATCACAACAAATGGATGACTTGGGTTTTGTTCATCTTGGAAGTATTTCTGAATCTTTTTATTTACACTGATTGTTAGCAAGGAACAAATTCTACATAGATACAGACATAGATGATATATATTCTCCAGCTTTTAAAACCACTGTGGGAAGACTTTTCCTTCAAAAACTGGCCACACCTTGCCACATGGCTATGTGGCAACAATTTCGATGAGGCATGTCTTACACAGATCTAGTCACTGTGCTCACATATGTAGGCTGCGCCTGTCTGCCCTGCCTCACCCCGCTGACCGCAGACTCGGCTGCCTTGGGTAGTAGCCCTTCTCAACATGTTTGGGGGATGAGGGGCTGGGGTGAGGGGCTATCCAAGGGAAAGGCCCCAGCCTGGGATTAATAACCTGTGCCAGCTTCAAAAGCAGCTCAGCGTTTTGAGCTCTAAGCTAACACTCTGGACCTTTAGTCACCTGCCACCCCCAAAATTTAAAAAAAAAATGGAAAATAAAATCTTATTTCAAAGAGGAAACAAGCACAACTCCTGCAACATACACTAAAGCCTGTTCTGTCTTCATCTGAGAGTGAGGAGACTGGCTCCACTCTGATGCACTTGGGTCAATAAGAGCGGGTAGGCTGCTGTCGCTCTCAGCAATTCGAAGATGTTTAGATTCTACACAAAACAGAAATGCTGTTCAGACACTTGCTTTGAGAACTAGAAACTCATGTTTGTTTTTCAGGCACTTTGGGGACTTCACTGGATGTTTCAGGTGTGTAGTAATCAGTAATAAATATTAGTACTCCTCCCCTCTATTGGAATGCAAAATAGCAGGCATCACCCTGTTTATGCTGCCGCTTCCAGCATGGACTTCACCGCGTTAACGAGTTCGTGAAACTCCGTGTTCTGAAAGTGGCCACGGTCAGTGAATTTGTACAGTTTGGCATCCAACCTGTCGGCCACTTCCTGCTGTTCCTTCCAGGGGAGGAAGGGGTCATCAGTGGAGCCAAACTGCACGATGAGAGGGCAGTTGGCCTTGATCTTCTCCCACTGCCATGGACGGCTGAAGTACCCTGTGGGAGGACAAACATGACCTGTCAGTGCCCGTGGCTGATCTTCATCCTAGGGCTTTGAAAACACCTGGTGGAAACCCTCGCAGAGACACATAAATCACAGCCTGAGTGTGCATTAGAAGCACTTCCAGGGCTGGCGCTGTGGCGCAGCGGGTTAAGCCCTGGCCTGATGCACCGGTATCCCACATGGGCACTGGTTCTAGTCCTGGCTGCTCCTCTTCTAATCCAGCTCTCTGCTATGGCCTGGGAT